GTCAACAGATGAACAACGAAATTCACTAGCTTTTATTTACAAGTGCTGCTATCTTCACGTTGAGGTCGGAAACTTTTCAGACCACCCTCGTATATTAATTTTGAATCAGTGTCTCGGGCATTAGTCCGTGAAAAAGACAATCGGCGCAAATCAATAATCGACACAAATCAATCGTCGTATGCAAAATCACCAATAATTCCATTGATCAACGAAATTAATTATTAATCGGCGTATATGAAACTAATAATCGGTGAAAATGAAATAATTAATCAGCGTATCGATCATATCGAAATTTAATTGACAATTAATTTCATGAATCGATGATTATGATGTTATATATGATACGATTGATTAATCTCACTTATTAATTTGTGACGATTATTTCACTCGAAGAAGATTCTCCTCGATTAATGCCGAATACCGGCACAAAACTGACGTAGATGATTTCTTCACGTGGTTTCAGAACGCCTCTCCTTCTCTCATTTTCTTTTCTTTTAATAGAAATCTCTCATCGATCTATGCTCCCAACACTGTTTTGAACTCGATAATGTTGTCATACCGTTTCCAGAGATCGCGTCGCGGCAGCGCAAAGCATCGTATTCCGTTTTGCGTCACGTATATGCTGTTATAGTTAGAACGTCCCGCGTACCGTTTACGTACACACACAAACACACACAGTATACGTGCACAGCTGTTGTGCGACACGTATCGCTAATCGAGTCGCTAATCGCGTCGCTCAAAAGCTAAATAAAAAACAAGGAAGAAAGAGGGGGATAAAAAGAGAGAGAGAAAGGGAGAGGGAAAAACAGCTCGTCCATTTGAAGGACGGAATAACGCGCCGCGCGACTACGTATCCGCTTACGCGAATGCCACGATATAAATGCAGATGTGCAAGCAAATATGTCCGCACGCGCGTATAATATGATGGATGAAGCGCAGCCTGCGTGACAGAGAAGGAGATGAACTATGCAGTTACCGCTCCCGCGGCGTTAACGTTTACGCATTTCGCCGGAAGACCTCGTCGATCCTCTCGCGTCTCCGAATGGACCACTCCCTAGCCGGAACGGAGAAACGGATGCATGTTAAACAATAGTCTCAATTAATGCCTCGTCGATCAATGGCGCAGGTGCATATATTCCGCTCTCCGGGCCGGACTCCGGTGTAAATGGGAAACGCCCGGGCCGAGAGCGCGGAAATTCGGTTACGCGAGTCTTGGAGATTGATCGGTCTACGCTTGTCGACAGAAAAAAATAACGCGCGGCGCTTTTATTTAAATATAATCCAATCCGGAGACGCGGTTACGATGGGCACGGCACAGACGGCCAGAGAAATTTTTCGTTTGGACGCGCCGACACTTAAAAGCTCACATTGCAATTTTCCGTTTCGCATTCCCCAATATTACGACGGATATTATGTATCCCTGTTACTTTAACTCTTCCTCATTTTGAGAAGTAATAATTATATCGTGCGTAGTCCGCATTCTTTTCTCGCTTCTTATTCTCTTTTTTCTGTTTTGAGGAAAAAATTTCCACGGAGGAAATTTTTTCTCTCCGGTCCGGAGTTACTGACTAACTCGGGATGAAATGCAATCGTAAATAATCGTAATGTTGTTACTAAACAGCACTCCCGTGGACGATGAGTGCATCCTAATTTATCCTCTCTCTCTCTCTCTCTCTCTCTTCTTCCTCTCGCTTCGATTTTTCGTTTCTCCGCAGGATATAATCAGTTGATTATTCCGTTAGTTGACTTGCAAAATAGAAAATGCATGGGAAAAATATATCATCAACGTTATCAAACGTTGCAGTCGATGTTCATCGGAAAAATTCGCTTCGTTTAAAAATTAATATTTTATTCGTAAAATAAATACACACAGCGCGAGTGTATGTGTGATAATAATTCAATAGCAGCACGCTCTGAAGCTGACCTTTTCCGACACGATAAAAGATCCCCCACGGCTAATTAATTGTTATTTATTTTTCGATTTAACTCATACACACTCGCGTGCAATTTAATTCATACAGGATATCTCATTTCTACCATACACTTTTTTAATGATAAATCGCTTTAACGTTATAAATTATACAAAAATACATACATTATTACATTAATACATTATTGGTTTAAATAATAGGCGTTATCTTTTTTTATAATAACTCTTCAAATAATGTGTTAGTCGAATTGCTTGCAGCAAAAATGTCAAAGCACCGACAACGCTATCCGACACCATTTTGCAACTTACGTGTAGTCATATCCGGCACTTTTTGTCCCAAAAGTTTGTTTCAAAATTGTGACGTGATAATCCAATTTGAACAACGACCAAGAATACGTCGGAATTCGCACCCGGTGTGTTGCAAAAAGAATGTAAAATTTGTCGGATAGCGTAAATCTCAAATTACAAGCGATTGAGAAAGATTTCTCTCAAGCTAAGTTTCAACAAGCCAAGTAGATTCCAAGATTGCATTCTCCAGCTAATTTCAGAAATTTGCTTCGATAAAGTTTTAACTCGATACACAGTTGCAAAGATATATAATATTAAAACTCAAATGATTGCAAAACAACTCTTGGCTCCCTCGACATTTTCGTTGCGAGGAGAAGTTGTCTCCGGAAAGTCCGCTGCTGCAAAATAATGAAATAAGAAGAGAGAGGAAGAGAGAGAGAGAGAGAGAGAGAGAGAGAGAGAGAGAGAGAGAGAGAAACAGCCTAGGGAGAGAAAAAGAGAGAAAAAACCCTGTATATAATTTATACATATATTCAGGTCAGGAGTAAGAAAGAGACTGCGCTCAGATTGACAGCTCGCGATAAAATGGTGAAGGCGAGATCGCTGAGCGATGCTCTCGAACATTTGCATCACGGAATCACGCCTTGCTTTCAACGCCCCCATTGATTAACCCCGACCTTCGACACCCCGTCGTTCCGCGCTTGTACGGTGGAGGAAGGGAGCAGGAGAGGGGGGGGGGAAGGCAAAAAAGAAAGTTCAAGGAGGGCAGCCTAAACTGCCATAATGCATCCCGGCATGCGAATAGATATTTTTAACCGCGCGTCGAAGGCGATCGATGTGCGCCAAGGCGGCGGAGGGGTTCGCGTCTACTAAATAATTGCTCCTCTCCGCCCGCGGAACTGAAACATCAGACGCGAATCCGTTGCACGTTGTGTCCGTCGGATTCTTTCACTTTCGTCGGGGTATTCTTCCGTCCGCTCGGTGTTTGCCTCGCGATCGATCCGCGGGGAAATCCCCGTGTCCGAGAATTCCGCCATACGACGTAAACGACGTATCCGGATTCGCGCGCTAAAAGCGACTCGCAAAGACGTAGTTGCGCTCTTGACGAACACTCGGCCGCGCAATAGGGGAGAGGCAAGGGAGGGGAGGGGGGGAGTCACTGAACCTGTCGGCGAGCGTGCACATCCGGAACTGACGGTACCAGCGGCCAACATCGCCGTCGTCGTGCGCTCAGGAGGAGAGACAAAATAGAAAAAAAAAAGAAGATCGCAAACACGAGGCGGCAGTGCGATGGCAGGCGACGCGAGATATTTTAAACTCGAGCCGAGCGTCGATCGATGGCCAGGCCATTACTGCTTAAATTATTGAATCCCGCCGGACTATTCGATATGGGAGCGTTCTTCGCGAGTGTCGCCGAGGAGCCGCTCGAACGTCGCGATGCTGAACGGCCAATTTTTCTCTGAAAGGCTGTTCCCTCCTCTCGCATTTTGTCTCTCGTTCCTTTCTTCCTCTTTCCCTCTCTTTCTTTTTCTCTGTCCCTTCTCTTTCCCTTCTTTTTCATTTTTTCTCTCTCTTTTTCGATCACCTGCCGGGACGAGCAGATCGCCGTTTATCTCGCCGCGGCACGAAGTGACAACGCGTTGCGCAATGCTCGCCGCTCTGCGTGTTTCCGCGGCGGATCTCGTTCAACCAACCGAGCGACACCTGCATCACCCGATAGAACAGATCGCGAGGATATAACGCAGTTACGAATCTCGAACAACTGTGTCAACGTGGCCTTTTGTCGGCTGGCTGATATTGCCGCGCGCATCGCGTCGCCGACGCGAAGCCGGAATTGCGTACCACGTCGCATCGCGTTACATCCGCGTCGTCGGATTAAAACGTCAAAAGTCGACCAATTCCTAACTGAAATCCCATTTAGTCTCTTTTATTGTCACGCTAGAACTTTCCTTTAATTCACAAATATCGTAAAAATTCTTTTAATTCGCAAATATGTACAATGAACACATTGCTCTGTGAATATAAGTATCCACCACAAGACTCCATAGTGAGAAAAATCTCGGTCATATGTTTGGCAGATGTCATACCTACGTCACTTTAAGATGAAATCAGTCTCTTCTGACTTTAATAAATTCAACCCTGAAAAGCTTCATACGACCCGAATACGTTTGAGAATATCCCAGCTGCTTTTTTGGCTACTTGCCGGGATACACCCTTGATACGCCGATTCCTCTGCAGATTCCAACTGAGGAAGTCACGATTAACGGGTCAAAGGAGGACAAAATCGATATAAATTGAAATTTATTAGTGATTCTTGGCTTCATC